CGATCTCCCGCTGATGATCTTACGCGAACGGAGTCCGCTACAAATATGAAAACTATCTTCTCGTCTCGTTTGGATCGCGAACAATCTGTTGACGATATTACGCAAACGATTCTCCGCTGAAGATATGAAAATTGCCATCTCGTCACATTCGCATTGCGAACGATCTCCATGTACGAGCCAGGTAATCGTTAAATGGTCCTAAATTGAACATGGACATGAATAGAAGTGACGGGTACATTTCACTTCGAGATAATATCTTGATTTTTTCATTGTGTCTTCCTCATTTAGGACAGCCGCCAATAACAATAACGGCGTTACAAACGACAAAGCCGCGGCCTGTGACTTCTATTTGCCGGCTTGATAACGCACCTTAAGCCAGGTAATAGTAAAGAAACTAAAGACAAAAGGCCGACGTTCCCGCAATTGAGAACGGGAATTCACATCTAAACCATCTATATTGTGAGTAACCACTCGCAGGGGCGCACTATTGTTCCTATCTCCCATTGAGAGCGTTATCGGCAATGATATCCTGATCGTATCATTGTCTTGAATCAACTGACGCATTACCTTCATGTTTGAGCTGGACAACGCGGCCATATTTGGTGACGAACTTTTCAAAAATTATCCAGTACCTCATTTTCAAGGTCGACGAAGTTTTCAAAGGGAAAAAAATTACGTCGGCGGAAAATCGTCTTCCGACGAAATTTTCAAGAACGACGAAATTTTCAAGACTTTACCGTATGTGTCAGATAACAAACTAGTGTCCTTGGCCTTACTGAAAAATCCAAGATGGCCGCCGTATGGCATAGGAATACTAGAACATGCACAAGGGTTTTCAACTAACTAATGCCAACTAGGAAGATGCATTGCCCACTATGTAACTAATTTTCTTTCTTATTACACAAATAATACATTTGTGGTGAGTAACTAACCTTTATTCACAGGCAATTCGAGAAAAATCCAAGATGGCCCCCATATCAAAGGAATACTAGTATACACATAGGGCTTCTTCTGCCATGGAGATATAATATTAATTGATAAATTAGGTTTGTTTCTGAGTATTTTCCACATCTTTTTAATTCACATAATACATTTGTGATGCGAATGTTATGTGTGTTCTTTTTGAAAACAAAACAAAACAAAATGGCTGCCATTAGCCATAGAAAGTGGGCCGGTTCAGTTAATACCTGCGAGAGATAGGCTTACAAATAAAATGAAGCTGAATTCAGTTGTTTTTCTGTTTTTTTTTTTAGTATTGTTATCCCATGATACATATCTGTTAGGTAATTAATGTCCATATTTTATCATTTTGGGGAAATCCTAAATAGCCTTCTTTTCCCCATAGGAAAACTGGTGCATTAGATTTTATAGGCACTTCTATGGCAAATGAGGGTAATCATGATATTTTTTCAAATACTTAAGGGTATACACTTGTTACCCACCAGATAGATATATAAAAGTCCAAAAAGAATGTGGGAAATACCGAGAAACAAAATTCATTTTATATTGAACCCAATGTCTCTCTGGCAGTACTGTAGTTGACTGTACTATTCCTATTGTGAATTGCAGCAATCTTGAATTTTCTCAAATACGCAAGATGCACACTTGCTACACACCAGATTTATAAAGAGTAAGGTTAATAAGGATGTCAACATGTTTAAACATCAAAGGCTTTATTTCATGTTGGAATCAATGTCTGAACTGTTCTATTAATTGACACCTATGTGCATTTGAATGATATATTCCTTTGACAACTGGCAGCTATCTTGGTTTTCTCCGAATAATAATCAAGGATACATACACTTTCAAAACACACAGTCTTTCATAAGGATAAATAGGATATGAAAAACATTTAAAAATGACCCAAAGTTAACTACATTTAAATCGTACTCAGTGTATCTCTAGCATTATTTGATTATGTGTTCGAATATTCTAATGACAAAAGGCAGACATCTTGAATTTTTTTCAGAATACCCAAAGATACATACATGCTACAGACCAGGTATACATCATAGGGGTAATAATAAATGGAATGAAAAACATAAATTATTTTTAAAACAAACCCATGGAAATGTAATTGTATAATGAACCATATGCCTCTCTAGCAGCAATTGAAACCCACCCATTAGTATTCCTATGTTAAATTGTAGGTATCTTTTTCTCAGAATATCCAAGGATGCACACTATTTACCCACCAGATATATATCATAGGACTAATAAGGATGGGCAAAACTTGATAAGCAAACACAAATTCACCCTGGTAGTAGATGAAAAGCCATGGATGTGCAGTTGTAATTCCAGTAGTATTCCTGTGGCCAGTGACGGCCATCTTGGGTTTTCTCAAAATGATCAAATATGCACATTTATTACCTGCTAGATAGGTATCACAGTGTAATAATAATGTGTAAAACACTAAAAAAATAAACTGAACTTGATAGTGAATTAGCTGGCATTAGTTCCAACCCTTTGTAATACTAGAAGTATTCCTATTACATGTGACGGCCATCTTGGATTTTTTCAAAATGCCCAAGAATACTGTTAGTTACTCACCACATACATATTGTGTGGGTAGAAAGGATGTGGAAAACACTCAGAAACCAGCTTAATTTGATAGTGAAAAACTAATCTTTCCAGTTGCCATTAGTTGAATCCACCGTATACTAGAATTCCTGTGGCACATGGCAGCCATCTTGGATTTTCCAAAATGCCCAAGAACACTTCGTAGTTACTCACCACAAAAATATTATGTGGGTAACAAAGATCTGAGAAACAGACTTAATTTGATAGTGGACAACGTATCGTTCTAGCTGGTAATAGTTGTGCACTAGTATTCATATGGCTGTTTCTATGGCAAATGACAGCCATCTTGGATTTTTTCAAAAAGTCCAAGGGAACTTGTTTGCCATCTGACATATATGAATAAAATGGGTAATAAGGGTGTGGAAAACTCTGAGAAAATAATTTATTTGATAAAAATCAACATAGGTATGTACATATTTCTAAAGAATTCAATAAATTGGCGGCCACTTTGGATTTTTTTGGCCAAACGGTAAATTTTTTCCGTGGGTTACGGCTCTAATTTGATTTAGAATGTCAAAAGGTACCTACATGCAAAATTTGGTGCTTTTAGCCGCCATGTCACGATTTTTTCCTTAAGCCACCGGACTAAATAATGAGACTGTTAACATGCCTAAGAATTGAATCTGAGGAAATGTGAAAAAACAGCATAACTTCTAAAATAATGGCTCGATTATGCTGATTTTCGAACTTGACCTGCATTTTAGTAAGATTGAGTACTCCTGTAAGTTTCATGACAACAGGCCTATCAGTTTTCCTTTAAATGTGTTTACAGTGTTGCATATATGCTGAAAAGTGAAAAAACAGCATAACTTCTACAATAATGGCCCCATCATGCTGATTTTCGAACTTGACCTGCGTTTTATGAATATTCATCAGCTCTGTAAATATAAAGCCAAAAAATAAAACTGCCCTCCACTTATCGTGTTTACAAGTAAAGTGCACGGCGCCGACGGCGACGGCGACGACGGCGACGACAGACGCAGGTGATGGCAATATGTACAGACACATCTGTGTGTGTACATAAAAAGAAAGAAAGAAAAGGGAGAAATAAGGGGACCGTTTTGACTGTGATGCGGCAGCTGGGAAACCCGACTATATTTTCAAAGATAATTATTTCATTCAAGTTAAACGGCTTTTGGATCGTTTCAGTCTCAGTTATCTTTTGGTTTACCAGACTTCTGGTGTGTCGTTGACGAGTCTGCTGCTGCGGTCTCGATTAGAAATGTCTTGCTTGATTAGAAATGTCTTGCTCGATTAGAAATGTCTTGCACACAAATACTCTTTTTTGTCTGAAGGTTTGAAGAATGGCATGCTCTCCTCATTTAGGAGACTCAAAGATGAAGATTGTGTGAACATGCTCGGTGAATTACGTCTTTACAAGTGCTGTTTACATCGCTTGAAATGGTTTTCCTGTCATATATCCTCAGAAAAGAGCTTTCCAAGAGTGTAGTTAAGCGACAAGGAACTGGGGTACGTAAATTATTACGCAGAAGCCAGGTTATTTATGTTCCTTCTCGGCGGCAATCGCCACCAGTTTGTACCTGTATAGCATAACGACCTACAGTACATGTAGTTGAGGATTCTTCATCATGATTTTACATTATTTTTTTAAAGCTACATGGAATTTATCATTATCTAGCTTCAAAAATAAAGATTGTCATTTGACTTACGTTTTTGAAACAGGCATCTAATTTTAATACATAAATGTACGGACCCTCCAACACTAACGTCCCACAAGCAGAGATTAATTTTACAATGTGGCAACGCGACAGCTTTGTGAAGTTTTGTTTTTTATTTTCTTAATCTTGAAACTGTAACTGACGGTTTTTAAGAAAATTCACGGGCCCAGTCGGCTTTTTCACTGGCATTTTTTTAAATTTTATTTTCAACATGATATAGTAACATAGAATTTGTTCACTTTTAATGTGTATATAGAGACTTGAGGTGACTGAGAATAATTCAAAAAGTCACGAAAGAAAAAATATATATATATTCAATGATACTTCAAGCAGTCTTTTTTGGCAAGTTTCATCCAGTTTCTTCCCTGAAATCTACAAGTCAAGTGGCTTTTTTCTGCGTGGACTATTCTTCTTCCTTTCTTGTACTATGTCAATCAGAAAAGAGGGAAACCTGTATGATAGAAAAAACACCATAATAATACCATAAGGAACTAGTAACTAGTATATAAGTAGACATTATGGTTTTATGCAGTGAATTTTATTTAATCTGCCATTGTTTTGAAGTGGTTTGACTGAAATGTCAACCACATAGATTTAAATATGCAATTTACAACTAAATTTAAAAAGAACATCAAGATTCAAGATTGCAGACATATAACCCCATGAGATTGCAATGAAATCATATTAATAGAAATAAGATATCAAAATTGTTTAAATTTGTCCTGGTTCCCACTGTCGTCCTGACAGGATACAAAGAGGATCTCAGACGGACTGGCGGCTAAACGTAATATGCCCAAGATTTGTTGTAGTTTTCCAAAAAAACACCATGATAGGATTTTCATTGAACTCTAATGATCCCAATGGTGTCTCAAGCGGAAGAAAGCTAATGTTTTTAGCATTGTAGAATCCAGATATTGGGTTATTAAGATATTTTCATCAGTGTGTAGTGGTAATTTACTGCATCAAAACAAATAACAGCACACACAACCGATTATTGGCAACAAAAATCAAAATATCGCACAAAAACTTCAATAAATCTGGCCTTGTCTTGTGATACATGCTATGCATTTAATTTTTATTAACTAACCGTAATAATCTTTTACTAGTATAGAGACTTACCTTAACTACAATACTTGACTAATGTAAGTAAAATCAAGTCAAATGGAATCACTTGCACACTTCATTGGTTTCTGTAGTCAGTGAAGCCATACATCTCCGTCTTGCACCTGAAACAACCACTCAATTGACACACAAAGCATGCCAGATAAATAACATTGATAAGATTCTCTACGTGAAAGTACTGTACGCTCTTGGTGTAAAGATGAGACTGAGGAGAGACATTACAGGTTTATTTTCCAAACAAACATTATATTGACATGGATATATAAGTACTAGAGAAGTGTTTACATAACACAGGTAAAGCTTATTATTTTAACAACCTTACCACCCGAAATGAATACCAGATGTTTGATTGAAAACTGGATTTTAGAATGAATTGATGCTGCAGCTTTGGTTTGAAAAATAATATCATTAGTACTTAAAGCTGTCTAGAACTCCCCCCCCCCCCCCCCCAGCGGGGTAAAAGAGTTATAAAATCATGTTTTTCTCACCCCTCTAACATCCATACTTTCTCTATGATATTAATAGCTAGAATAAGAGTTAGAAATCAAATCACCATTATTTCTGATATATATGTGTGTGTGTGTTTGTGTGTGGTTCTGGGCCTTTGGTTTAAGTGAAAAATGGATCTGATATATTTGGTCACAGTCACTCTGGGTTGAATTTTGGTTGTAGGATTTTCCAAACCAGAGCAATGTTCTTGTGAAGTAGCCAGTAGGCAAAGTGAAACAATTTTGGCATTGTGTTAGCACAACTGGCAATGAAATAATAGACTAAGTAGCAAAATTTAAAAGAGTAACCTGTTTATATTCCACACAAATTGAGGGTAGTTTTATTTTATTTTTGAACACCTTCATTTTTGGTCAACTGCCCGTGTGTTTTCATTTTAACACAAAGCAGTTCATAGACCTCTAACTCATGATGTCACTAGAAACTGACCAATCAGTAGCTTCTCATAAAACTTTCCCCTTTGCTTACTGTATAAAATTAGTAAAACAAAGTTGTAGAAACAGTACATGGGAGTACCAATGCATGGGTTTTATGTTAGTTGGAGCATGTAGTGTATTCTCAGAGTTTTGACTATTTGCAGAGAGCGTGGACATTTTTTGACACTCTAGATCTGCTGGTGAGGGGCGGAGCTGGGGGACAAGGGTTGCCTAAGATAGGAGGTGTGGGTGGCAATGGAGGCAGCGTCTATGTGGTGGCTAAGAAGAATATCACTCTCAGGGATGTAAAGAGGAAAAATCCAACTAAGAAATACACCGCAGGACTTGGCAGTAACAGCTGGTAAGTATGTAGATATATATAACTAAGAAATACACAGCAGGACTTGGCAGTAACAGCTGGTAAATATATATATTTATTCACCTAAATGCTCATATCTTGGTAACTTTATATCACAGAAACATAGCTGAAGTATCATTTCCTACAGTGAAGTACTGTCAATCATTTTCAAGAAATTTGATGATCTGAGAAATGAGTTCATGTTGATATTGTTGCAGGAAGCGTGGTCCATTGGGTCCTCCTGGTAAAGACATAGAAATCCCAGTCCCTGTAGGAGTGGAGGTGAAGGACCAATATGGCAGAGTTTTAGGTAGGTAGAAATCTCAGTCCCTGTAGGAGTGGAGGTGAAGGACCAATATGGCAGAATTTTAGGTAGGTAGAAATCTCAGTCCCTGTAGGAGTGGAGGTGAAGGACCGATATGGCAGAATTTTAGGTAGGTAGAAATCTCAGTTCCTATAGGAGTGGAGGTGAAGGACCAATATGGCAGAGTTTGAGGTAGGTAGAAATCCCAGCTCCTGTAGGAGTGAAGATGACAAGATTTTAGTAGCACAGGGGAGAGAGGGAGGAAACCCCGCTAATAACTTGTCATTATCTTGATATTATTCTGTATTATTACAGGTAGTCTGGATATAGAAGGAGATAAGGTATTAGTAGCGCAGGGAGGAGAGGGAGGAAACCCAGCTAATAACTTCTCATTATCTTGATATTATTGTTATTACAGGTAGTCTGGATATAGAAGGAGATAAGGTATTAGTAGCACAGGGGGGAGAGGGAGGAAACCCAGCTAATAACTTCCAAGGATTTAAGGGACAGAAAAGGTTCATCAACCTCGACTTGAAACTGCTGGCTGATGTTGGATTAGTTGGGTGAGGAAGAAGATTATATTTGCTTGTCATAACTTCCATTTATTGTCTGAAATGCTACACATTTCAATGTTTTATAATAAAGAAATGTGTTTATGTACCACAATAATAATATGTATATCATAAATGGACAAAGGTTTTTATGACCAGAACTAAATGATGAATCCATTCTGATTGTATTTCACCATACTACTGGGTCAGGTAATGTATTCTCTGTATCAGATGTTTCTTATGTTTTAGGTTTCCCAATGCAGGGAAGTCCACACTATTGTCTGCCGTCTCCAGGGCCGGACCAAAAATTGCAAGTTATCCATGTATGATCTGATTTCTTATGCTTTCATTAGTAATCTTCATTAATCAGACTAATGTAAATTACAAATAAATTGTTGGATCAGACCCTCCCTGTTGTGTTGATGTAACTGCAACCTGGTGTTAAGACCATAACTGCCAAAATATTTCTTTAACGTTGAATTTTCTTTGCTATGTTTGGTTAAGAGGTAACAAAACATTTTAAAAATCTGCATGATCTTGCCTGTATCTTATCAAATCTTTGAATTTATTAGTTAAATGTCTGTCCATGTGCCTGTCTTTGATATCTAGTTTTAACATTCCAGTCACCACTGTGAAACCACAGCTTGCTAAAATGGAATATGAAGACTTCAGACAAGTAGGTCCTTTGTTATGTACTGTGTATGTCCTGTACCATTGTTGTGTACCGTGTACCACTGTTGTAGGTCCTATACCACTGTTATGTACCATGTAGCCCCTGTACTGTTGACTGTGGAAGGCAAGATTTTACTGTAATATCTATAGCAAAGGGATGGAAATTAAAACACTGGTTTGGGAAGAGAGAAATAGGTACCTCCAAAGTTAACAGAAAGGGGGGAGGAGATATTCAATCCAACCCCCTCCACCCCCCCCACCCCCCCAATCAACCATCATTTTTAAATATTTTTAAGGTTGATTTAACTTAAACACTTTACTGAAGAAGCTATAATATATTATCACAGTGAAAGTCTTGTATAATATGCAGACAACTTTCAGATCTCAATAGCTGATTTACCTGGCCTGATTGAAGGAGCACATCTAAATAGAGGAATGGGGCACACCTTTCTGAAACACATTGAGAGAACCAAAATGTTATTGTTTATGGTGGATGTTGGAGGGTTTCAACTTTCACCAAAATACCCATATAGGAGTGCATTAGAAACTATATTGCTACTGAACAGGGTAAGTGGCAGAAAGATGTTATGAACTATATGATTGATATTTGTGGTAGATTTCTTATGACTGTTATTTGTTGTGGATTTCTAATGGCTTGTTTTTGATAACTTTGCAGTGGTTTTTGATGGATTTTTGATAGATTTCTAATACTTGTAATTTGAGATCGTTATGTAAAGGCTGATATTTGTGATAGCTATCAAATGTCTTTTGTTTGTGATAGCTATCTAATGACTGNTTGAGGTAGGTAGAAATCCCAGCTCCTGTAGGAGTGAAGATGACAAGATATTAGTACAGGGGAGAGAGGGAGGAAACCTAGCTAATAACTTCTCATTATCTTCATATTATTATTATTACAGGTAGTCTGGATATAGAAGGAGATAAGGTATTAGTAGCACAGGGAGGAGAGGGAGGAAACCTAGCTAATAACTTCTCATTATCTTGATATTATTCTGTATTATTACAGGTAGTCTGGATATAGATGGAGATAAGGTATTAGTAGCACAGGGAGGAGAGGGAGGAAACGCAGCTAATAACTTCTCATTATCTTGATATTATTATTATTACAGGTAGTCTGGATATAGAAGGAGATAAGGTATTAGTAGCACAGGGAGGAGAGGGAGGAAACCCAGCTAATAACTTCCAAGGATTTAAGGGACAGAAAAGGTTCATCAACCTCGACCTGAAACTGCTGGCAGATGTTGGATTAGTTGGGTGAGGAAGAAGATTATATTTGGTTGTCATAACTTCCATTTATTGTCTGAAGTGCGTCACATTACAATGTTTTATAATAAAGAAATGTGTTTATCTACCACATTAATATGTTTATCATAAATGGACAAAGGTTTTTATGACCAAAACTAAATGATGAATCCATTCTGTCTTTATTTCCCCATATTACTTAACCAAGTATTGTATCTTGTATATTAGAGGTCTCTCATGTTTTAGGTTTCCCAATGCAGGGAAGTCCACGCTATTGTCTGCCGTCTCCAGGGCCGGACCAAAAATTGCAAGTTATCCCTGTATGAACTGATTTTTTATGCTTTCATTAGTAACCGTCATTAATCAGACTAATGTAAATTACAAATAAATTGTTGGATCAGACCCTTCCTGTTGTGTTGATGTAACTGCAACCTGGTGTTAAGACCATAACTGCCAAAATATTTCTTTAATGTTGAATTTTCTTTGCTTTGTTTGGGAGGTAACAAAGCATTTAAAAAATCTGCATGATCTTGTCTGTATCTTATTAAATCATTGAATTTATTAGTTAAATGTCTGTACATGTGCCATCTTGATATCTAGTTTTAACATTCCAGTCACCACTGTGAAACCACAGCTTGCTAAAATGGAATACGAAGACTTCAGACAAGTAGGTCCTTTGTTATGTACTGTGTATGTTCTGTACGGTTATTGTGTACCGTGTACCACTGTTGTAGGTTGTGTACCACTGTTATGTACTGTGTATGTTCTGTACCATTGTTGTGTACCGTGTACCACTGTTGTAGGTTGTGTACCACTGTTGTGTATTGTGTATGTCCTATACCACTGTTGTGTACCGTGTACCACTGTTATAGGTTGTGTACCACTGTTGTGTACAGTGTAGGTCTTGTACCATTGTTGTGTACCATGTTCATGTAGGCCATGTACAGTTGACTGTTGAAGGCAAGATTTTACTCTAATATCTATAGCAAAGGGATGGAAATTAAAACACTGGTTTGCTGGTTTGGGAAGAGAGAAATAGGTACCTCCAAAGTTACCAGAGAGGGGTGGAGGAGGAGGAGATATTCAATCCATCCCCCCCCCCCCCCATCAGCCATCATTTTTAATATTTTAAAGGTTAAATGTTGATTTAGTTTGCACCTTTTGACCTTGTTTAACAGTTTATGCACTGTGCAACTGCATCAAAGGGTTTATGATTTACCTGCAAGTTTTACCTGAATGATCAGTATATAGACAGCTTTACTGAAGAAGAACATATTTTTACAATGAAAGCCTTGCATTATAGATCTCAATTGCTGATTTGCCTGGCCTAATTGAAGGAGCACATCTAAATAGAGGAATGGGGCACACCTTTCTGAAACACATTGAGAGAACCAAGATGTTATTGTTTATGGTGGATGTTGGAGGGTTTCAACTTTCACCAAAATACCCATATAGGAGTGCATTGGAAACTATATTGCTACTGAACAGGGTAAGTGGCAGAAAGATGTTATGAACTATATGATTGTTATTTGTGGTAGATTTCTTATGACTGTTATTTGTTGTGGATTTCTAATGGCTTTTTTTGATAACTTTGCAGTGGTTTTTGATAGATTTTTGATAGATTTCTAATACTTGTAATTTGAGATAGTTATGTACAGGCTGTTATTTGTGATACGTAGCTATCAAATGCCTTTTGTTTGTGATAGCTATGTAATGATTGTTATATATAAGAGCTATGTGATAGCTGTTATTTGTGATAGCTATGTAATGGCTGTTATGTATAAGAGCTATGTGATAGCTGTTATTTGTGATAGCTATCTAATGACTGTTATTTTTGTTTCTTTGGTCTAGGAGCTGGAGTTATACAAGGAAGAACTGTTGGAGAAGCCATGTGTTTTAGCTTTGAACAAAATTGACAAGAAAAATGCCAACTTCCTGGCGACGGACGTTAAAGAGCAGTTACAGGACATGGAAGGTAAGGCAATGTACCTGGTGTTGAATGAGGTGTGCAGTAGATGGCGCCACGTTATGGAAGGTAAGGGAGACCAAATGTACCTGGTGTTGAATGAGGTGTGCAGTAGATGGCGCCACGTTATGGAAGGTAAGGGAGACCAAATGTACCTGGTGTTGAATGAGGTGTGCAGTAGATGGCGCCACGTTATGGAAGGTAAGGGAGACCAAATGTACCTGGTGTTGAATGAGGTGTGCAGTAGATGGCACCAAGTTATGGCAACGTCCCTTTGAGAGAAAACAACAAAACAAATTATGGCGATCCCTCACATCCAACAAATTCTCTTTTGAAATTCTAACCTAGCAGTAGTAGACTTCTGAGTTTTAAGGACAGTAAATTGTTTTTAAGTAGTTTTTATCTCTCTACAGCAATTTCAATTCCAATTTTAATCCTAATTCTTTTAAAATATTTTAATGTTCAGTTATTTATTTTAGTGCTATCTTTCAAATAAAAACAAGTTCCCATATTAATATTTGAAAATTTTTATTGGCTGAATATATTCTCATGTTATCTTAAGGTTGTGAAGCTGAAAGACCAAGAATGTTGGGGAGTTTTTAAAAGGGTGTTCTCTGTTTGTATAAATATATCAAGACAGGTGGCACAACAGCTATTTTTTTTATGATATCCATCTGTTTTTTATTGCAGATTCTGTTAGAAACTTGAACTTGGACAAAGACCTTCTTCCACAGCGTTTTATAAGGTTTGATGAGGTGTTTACCATCTCAGCTAAACTGGACATTGGTGTGGAGGAGTTGAAACACAAACTAAGAGACCTTCTGGACACTTATGCTGACCAGAGGACAGAGTATCAGAGACAAAGATTTGACCATCAGAGAGAACTGGACAGTAAAACTAGTGTAGAACAGGCTGGTTTTATTGTCTGACATTTGTTACAAATTATGACTATAATGAAACTGTATACTTCTATCATGTAACATTACATTACTTGAAGAATGTTTACTAATTATGTTAATAAGGACGTGTCAGGGAATTGTCAGTTTACACATTTCTATCCATACATTTTCTGTAGACAATAATGTTAGGGTCTCTCCTCTCTGTATTGCCTGTTACTGTAGACATACCATGGTTTGCCTACTCTGTGTCTCAGTCGTGTAAACGTGTCAGTGTCTAGCTCATTATTCCATGGTGACAGGAGACGCCATAGGTGACAGAGGACGGGGACATCTTGGTCAGAACACTGACTGTCCTCCTCCTCCCCGTCCCAGTATTCATGGTAATGGAAGACGCCATCTTGACATGTCTGATCTGAAATGAACATCATGATTTTTAAATGCTTGTGGCAATGCCAGTAGTCGGCAGGAAATGTGAGAAAGACGCTCCGGACATTAGTACACATTTGCTGTGTGAAGGTGACACTTAGCCTGGTCTTTATTATTTAGCCTGGTCTTTAGCATTTAGCCTGATATTTATCATTACAAAGACCAGGTGGAGCAATCATATCAAATCTTTAAAGGGGTCAACTTTAGGAAAGTAAAGTAAAATTTATTAAATTAATTTTCAACCTGTTTGAAATTTTCAGATAATTCTTGCATATATATATATATATATATATATATATATATATATATAATTTCAGCAGAACTTGAATGATAACTGTTGCTGTTTTTGAAAAAAAAAATGATTTGATCATTGTAAGCTGGAGTTTTATTTTCTTAACAGATGTGGTATTTATCTTGAGACAAAAGCTTAATTTTCTGCACTCAGATGTGTGCCTTGCACAAAATAAAAGCAGGACAAACGTTACCACAGGTGTATATCTGCTTCACGCTGTACAGCATCCATACCAACACTGTGCTACAGTACATCTCTCTCAGCTCATGAACGATGAACACACGTGTTGAACTATTTTACTGTAAATAAAAGATGTATATCTGCTTCACGCTGTACAGCATCCATAC